GATGCAATAGCGGACATACACGACAAGTCGATATCCAATCTTTTGGACGACCCCTGTACTCTGAGCAGCAGAGTGAGCCTCACCAAGACGAACCGGACTGTGATCTTCCAACGGAATCCATTCCACCAAGTCCGCATCCGTCAAGATCATGCAACCTATGGAAGTCAGCTCCTCAGCATCGTGGAGAACGGGCTCAGATCTGGGAAATCCCAGTCGAACCCTTCGGGGAGAATGCACGTCCACATGGCATGCATCGATGACGTCATCCTTGACGACGACGAGTCAGAAGCAGCACTGACCCATGTGCCAGCAGGAAAAAATGCACTGTTGATGCTTGCATTCCTCAAGGACCAGGACTATGGCATCCGACTCTCCGAAGAGCGAACAGTGCTGACAGATCAAACCATCGAGGCGAAGAATATTGTTGCAGCCTTTGAACCTGATGGCAGCACCATGGTAAGCAACAAGTGGATCATGAAGAAGCATCTCAGCTATGAAGATTTTGAGATGTACGACACCAAGATCCGTGAATTCGCCGATGCCTTCTTCAGTCATGTGAGTTCCAACAAACACAGCAAGAAAAAAGATACTTCCTCAGAGACCAAGAAGCCACCGATCAGGACGAAGCTGAAGAGGAGACCATGGAACCCTCCGGGGAGAGATCCGTCAAGCCAAAGGTTACCATGGAGTATCGCAATTCCGAGAACCTAGACAAGTTCATCCAGGAACCCAAAAAATCTACCTCGAAATAGAAATGAACAAAAAGGACGCCGAGGACGAGCTTGCGGAGACCAGGAAAAAAACCTCCTCCGCTTCATGGAAAAGTACAACAAGGATCCAAGAAGAGCCCATCCCAAATTGACAGAATGCGAGAGAGCCTCACTGGCACACGTCGATCCCGATGTCAATCTCGGAGAAGAAGAATTCTACTTCCGTCATCGAGGAGAATGTGCAGTACAGGAGGCACAACCAGAATCCGGATATCCTATTAAGCTTCCACTTGGATTGAAGAAGCTTAGGTGAAATGGCGACTCGGAACTCATCCGAGCATGTGCCGGTTTCCTGGGTTGCTGATGCAGCCAACCGACCGTCCCCCTGTGGACCACCCCAAGAGCCGTGGAAACCTCACGAAGAATCCAAAGCTGGACAACAGGGAGGTGTGTAACATGCCGATGAAGGATAGACCAATCGTGAAGATGATGATGCAAAACAGTGCACACATCTTATGCCTGAATGAAGCAGACGCGTTCTTCAGTCCTAATGATGAGAAATCCAGAGAACTCATCAAGACGTTCATCCGATTCGGATACAAAGGCATTGTGATCAAGCAATGGTCATCCAGACCAATCGCATGCTTTGTCCGCGGCGGACCTTCCGCAAGGTGGAACTACTGTCAAGACATTTCCACCAGGAGTCAGAATTAGGGAGCCACATTCGGGAGGTTCAGATGTTTCTTCGGCACAGAGGAAAATTGCACTGGTCCCGAATACGAAATTCCGACCTCGGACTGCTTGGCAACTACGGGACCATCCATGTTCGCTGAATCCAAGAAGTACATTGGACCGAGATTGCCAACACGCACCATTGTCCAAGGACACGGACGAGACAAAGAGATTGCCGTTCTCCACATCGAGCAGAGTGATGAGTTTCGTGGCATGCTCCCGAAATCAACCAACAAATCACTCCTCGAGTTTGACGACCGCCACGTAACGAGGGCAGACCTCCCGTTTGCTACCGTTGGAGTTTTTCACATTCATCCATCAACCAGCCATGGAGCAGCACGGGAGGATCTTCAGAACGAAATCATGCCGCTCGTGACATTGTACCAAAGCGATGCGATCACCGCAAACGCCAACAAATCCGCGAATACCTACAGCAGACTCCAGCACGTCTTCAATCCGGCCAACGGTCTCATGCACATCCTCATGAAGGCATACCAGAGACTGTGGAATGAAACGAATAACCTGCCACTCGTGGACAGAATGGAGTATGCGATGGAGACTTCGCGCACCCTAAAATCCATTGTCCGTCATCACCTGCACATGAAGAGTGGATCAGGATACGATCAAACATTCCCAGATGCGATGATGACTTTCGTGTTTGGATGGGGCAAAACGAATATCCAGCAGGGTTTCCGGAATGAGGAGATGAACGCCATGGGAAGCCACGCGGAACGATCCAACAAAAGCCATATTCGATTACTGGGTCTCATCCGCAGAGCGCTTTAAGCAAGTGAACAATGACATGTTCATTAATGGCTCGCAGGATTCCGATTCGCACAGTCCCCTCATGGTTTACATTCGCAGCAATCTGCAGCCAGGCAACGCAACTTTGAGAGATCCAAGGAGTACCTCAAGAAGAAGCAATCCTGGACCCCGCAAGAGTACAAGGACTACAACAAGCAGTGGGGATATCAGAAGCAGTGGAAGGGCTATGGCGACTTGACCTGGAATGATTATGGAGACTATGGCAGTCAATCCGATAGCAGCCGTCGGTGGTACAAGTGAAGCAGCCACCTTTGGCACTCATCCGACTGACCGAGAAGACTCACACGTTCAGCACTACGAACTACAGCAAGATTGACCCTCACCGCCAACAAGACTATTCAGTGAGAGATCATTAGTTTCACATTCGTCCCGCATGTACGTAGCGTGATGCATCACCTTTCGATACATCTAGGTATCTCACAGATTCAGTACAGACTGTTTTCCATTTTGCAAGTCAAGACATTTCATCCGCGCAGAAAATAGGATGAATCCAGTATTTCAATATACATGGCTACGGCATAAAACAAGGCTACGGCCGAAGGCCGCCAATGATATTTCATATCTAGTGCTGGAGTACACAATTGATCTCCCGCAACCATTTGGCTCAAGGCCCTTCTGTACCCTAGCAATACTCAGGATTGCGTGACAAGAAACCTTTGCAGGCCGCTTATAGGATTATACAACAATGCAATCCACCAGGGACAATCCGTCAAACGTGGTCTTCGGGGAGCTGGTGTCGCAAAACAGGGGTCCCAGGCTCGATTCCCCCTGCCGGCTCTTTGCTGGTTTAGGATTCCTGCCTCCTTTTGCCGAAAATATTGGAAAAACTCTGTGTTTTTGCACGTCCGAATTGCAAAAACGCTGGAAAACCTGTGTTTTGCAAGGAAGTGCAAGGAGATGAGGGGAGGACATAGGAAATCGACATGACAGGAAAGCAGCGGGAAATGAAAGGGAAACAAAGGGGGCATACATGGAAAAGCAAGCGGAAGGAACCTGAAGGGGGAGTTGAAAGGCATGGAAGAGACATGACCAGGACATCATAAGAAACGTGAAAGGACATGAAGGGGAAATCAAGAAGAAAGCCAGTAGTGAGATGACAGTTCAGGGTCATGGGGCACTGCCCGGACACCGAGGCAGAGAGAGAGAGAGAGAGAGAGAGAGAGAGAGAGAGAGAGAGAGAGAGAGAGAGATAAAGAGAGAGAGAGAGAGAGAGAGAGAGAGAGAGAGAGGGAGAGGGAGAGGGAGAGGGAGAGGGAGAGGGAGAAGGAGATTGAGGAGAGAGAGGAGAGAGAGGCTTGGGCGGACGACAGAACACACGAGGGAGGCAAGGGAGAGAGGAAGCAGGAGAAAAGGGAGAGGACAGCTTCGGCGGACTGAGCCGGAGGCTCTAAAGTAAAGATAGAAAGAAAGAGCGACGAAGACAAAGCACCGTGAAAATGAATACGAGGTGAAACAGACTCGAGAAAGAAAAGAACAAACTGTAGTTTTCAATGGCTTGAAACTTCCGCCCACCGGCTTCGCCGGCTCTACTGGAATAATACTGAAAATGATAAATGGTGCAAAAAACGATGATGAAAATAATGAACATGATGATGATGATAACACGGCGCTAAACATGCTGAATGCTGACGAAACTGAAGACGCACATGATGCTGAACACGGTGATAAGTATGATGATGAACATGATGATGACAGTGATGACGAAATGATCATGAACATAATGATGAAAATGATGATGATAGCAGCTCATTTCCATCATCATGTTCATCATGATTGTCATCATCGTGTTCATCATGTTCGTCATCATGGTCATCGTCATCCATTGCAAATATAATAGGTCATAAACATGATGATGTCGATGATGAACATGATCCTAATGACGAGCATGATGACGAAAGTGATGCTGAAAATGACGCTGAAAGTGATGATGATAACCGTCATGCGTGGTGCATGATGATGTTGAACAAGGTGATGACATGGTGATGAGCACAATGACGAAAACGATGATGAACATGATCATAAAATTGATGAATGATGATGAGCGTGACGAAGACGATGATGAGACGATGATAGAAATACTAAGCCGCAATGAGATGGATAATGGACATGCTAGCCAAAACGATGGATGCTGATGAACTTGATGATGAACATGATGATGAGCACGATGATGAAAATGATGATGAACCTGATAGTGCAACTGGTGGTGAAGATGATGATGAGCACGATGACAGTGATGATACAAATGGTGAGTGCTGATAACACTCTCCGCAGCCAGCTCCGCAAAAAAGTCCAGCGCAGCACACTCCGCAGCCAGCTGCACGAAAAGTCCAGCGCAGCACACTCCGCAGCCAGCCCCGCGAAAAGTCCAGCGCAGCACACTCCGCAAGCCGCAGTGCAGGAAGTAGAGGAAGAACAGGAGCACGTGAGGCACAGAAGGGAGAAAAAGGAGGAAGGGGAGGGGGCGGAAGAAGGTGCACTGCGCAAGTCGCTGTTTGCAAGCGCTCTGTGCAAGTTGCCCTGCGCAAGCACTCTGCGCAAGTTGCTCTGCGCAAGTGCTCTGCGAGAGTGGCTCTGCGCAATTGCGCAGCGCATGTTGCCCTGCACAAGCGCTCTGCGCAAGCATTGTCTGAGAGTTGCTCTGCGCAAGGCGCTCCGCGCAAGCTGACCGGCGCAGGTTGCTCTGCACAAGCGCTCTGCGCAAGTGCTCCGGGCAAGTTGCCCTTTGCAAATTGTTCAGCTGTCCAAGTGGCTCTGCGCAAGCTGCTCTCTCCAGGCTGCCCTGCTAGTTGCGCGGCCCAAGTTATTCTGCGCACGCTGATCTGCACAAGTTGCTCTGCGCAAGGGGTCTGCTCTGCAGACTGCCTTCGCGCGGAAAAGTTGCTAATTCACTCAAAGCTCGCCCGGGCCAGGGCCTTGGCACCTTTTTTTTGCAATCTTGACTCCCTTGAGGGAGGGGTGAAACTGCACTTCCTAATCAGTGCGCACCTTGGCCATTTAGCCAGGGTCACTTGTTCTACTGGCCCGGACTCATGTAGGGGTTCCGCCTCAAACAGCAGCACATCTGCTGACTCTGCTCTGCTCGAGAGTCTGGCCGCGCATCAAGAACCTCAAAGTTCACTTCAGCGTTGTTGACCTCAACAAAATTACGGAGGCAGGCGCAAAAGGCGCAAACAAAGCTCCGTGCGGGGCGGTCTTTGTGGCTGGGAAGCAACTGCGGCTCTGATGCCTGAGACCACGGACTAACACGCTCCGCGTTTGCCTTGGCCGCATCCCGGCCGTTAGCCAGAGGTGCTCCCGAGAGTAAGCAGACCTGAACATCTCCACTTCCGCTGCAACGCGCCGTGCCCGCACGCTCAACGCCTCTTTGCCGGGTCAACAGCAGCCCCACCCATTTCCTGCGCTACGCGTGCAAACCGTTGCTCTTGATTCCAACGCATCGTGGACACACATGTTCTGCAAAAAAAGCAAATTCAACAGCAAAAGAGCTAGTCTGCTGCGTTTCTCTGCACTTTCCTTGGGCCCTGGCCAGGTTCGGGCGGGGCGGCTTCACACGCTGAGACCGAAGCCCGGGCCCGGACGGCGCCGCAAAGCGCCGGTGCTCCTTGGTGGGACGAGTTGCAAGTGACTGAGCTATCACCATGCCGCTGGGCGTGCCAGGAGGCGAGTAACGCGTGTTATCCGACTTGACAACCCGACAAGAAGCGGATGCTCTAAGCAAGGTCCCGTCACCATTTCGCGGTAGAGCGCCACATGCCCGGTAGATTGGTGCTGGTGTGTGTGTGTGGGTCGGGTGGAGTAAAGCTGGTGCGCAGCAGGGGTGGGGCGCGGGTGACGGGCGGGGGCTTTGGCGGAGGGGCAGTATCCACTACGCTGCGCGCACACCCTTCATTCCCCCACTGCAGCACACCACCGAGATTGCGTTGACATGAAGTCCACCCGAAAGTCTCCAATCTGGCTAAACACCTTGACGGTAAAATGATGCTGTCATGGCCGTGATGAAGCAAAAGCAAATAGGGCAGGGAGGGGTGGGGAATTGTAACCTTCTCTCGGCAGAAGCCTGCGCTACCGAAAAGCCCGTTGCCAAGTACCTGGACTCGCGTCGGTGGATATTGAGCAAACTGCGACGCCTTGCCCTCTCTGTCTAGGCGCGTGTGACTGGAGCTCCAGCAAAGCCCCAGCTGGGCACACAGTGTGTGTGAGCGTCTGGGGCGGCTTCCGGCTGGGCCTCAGAGATTTTGCGCGCGCAAATAATTTTGTAAACGCCTGAAAGCTGAAGCCCGCCCTGGCCTCACAACCCTTCTCTGCTGCTCTCCAAGTTCTTGGGGGGGTCTTTGACTGTCTTGGCTGGGCCGTCCCTGCTGACGCGCGTTTTGGAGCTCCTTGGCGCTGCAGCCGACAAAGTGGCCCTCATACATCGAGCAGCCGTCCATCGCCGCCGAGCTCCCGCCCTGGGGCCAAGCCATTGCTCTGCGTGTTGCGCGTGTGCAGAAAGTATATGTGCGTAAATGCACAACGCAAGCGCATCTGCGGATGTACAATGCAAGCGCGCGCTTGCACACATGCGCACGCATAGCCATGCGCGTGTCCATGTGCGTGCGCATGCCTGTGTGTGCGTCTTGAGGAGTATAAGGTGACACTGGGTGCAACCCAGTGCCGAAAGTGGCCTTAATTTCGGATAATACACATCCGCGCGCACATGAGACCCATGAGACGCCACTTCGGCCAAAAGATCAACACAACGGCGGAAAGCTGCAAAGAAAGGCAAAGGAGGACCATGGAGGGAGGACTCCAGAGCGTGAGGATGTCAGCGATCAAGGATGGTGGCCAGCTGGTCTGTCAAATTGCTGCGTTGCAAACACACCAGTGTGATATTCTCAGACAGGGGCAAGCGTGGTATATCCGGCCAGGAGGCAGAAGCGCTTTCCATTTTCAATGCAGCACCGGTGAATGATCTGCCACACGTGGGTTAATCCTGATGAGTCAGGCGTGGGGTTTGAAGATGCTGGAAAGGAATCAGGCCGGCTGGGACAGGCAAAGCGCTGACGCCACCCCACTGTTGCGCATCTTGTCTGGAGCGGCGTTTTTGAGACTGGAGCAGGGATCATGTCAATCGTTGGATACGACCATGAGGCCATCAACATCCCATGTGGAGTGCATCGTGCCGTAGTAACGCCTTAGTACGTCGTCAGTTTCCTTTTCATCATTGTGCCAGCAATGACTGCGCGCGCTTGCGCAGCGTCAGCGTTTCTCTTCGAAATGCGTTTATGCATGAGGCAGTGAAGGATCATGAAAAGTGCTGCCTAAGGAAAGCAGGCGGAATTGAAGTAACAGTTTCTACCTCTGCACGGGTGATTTGAAACGAACCACGTCGTGCGGGGGGGGGGGGGGGGGTGTCATGAACTACACGCAGTCATACAGTGGCTCAAGAACCACAGTCCCTGCAGCGAGATTTCCGCATCCCATTGATTCCCATTGCCTGACAGGAACGGTACAGGCGGTACTGTTGGGACACCAAGCGGTTCCCCTCACACACGTGCACGCATACACGCGCACACACAGGCGTAACATGCACACGCAGCATACGAACATACACACGCACACACAAACAGACCGACACACACACACACACACACACGCACACACACACACGCACACACGCGCACGCGCGTAGCGACACACATACATACACACACACATACACACGTATCTCGAGAGGCTTCACTAGCCGAGATGAAAAGGTTGGAAAAACCTGCAACTGCTGAAATTGCTTGGCAGGTCACAATGCAGAACAGAAACCGGGAAGCAACAGCGAACAGGACAGTAAAACAGTCAGGAAAAAGAAGGAAAGGCAAGTACACAAGGCTGATCAGGCCTTGCTTCCCACTCTCGCCCACAGCTTCATTGCGTGTGGTAGGATGAGAGTGCCACACGCCCCTGCTGCTGAAAGTTTTGCGTCCGTGCTCCAGGACGGTTCACACACACAAGGCCCCGAGTGGGGCGAGCTCACTTCTGCAAGGCCCGTTGAGTCTTGCAGTCTTCGACTGCGCGGGAAAGTCTCATGGCGATGACAGACCATGCATGCTTGGCCTTGGTATTGATCTTAAGCGAACGGAGGAGATCAATCTCCTCGTCAGTCCAAGGTTGCGGGGCTTCGGGATCAGCCTCAGCAGCGGCATCAGTCCTGGTCGATGGGGTAGCTTCGCGTTGTCCACGGGTAGGTTTGGATGCTATAGAGCGTGAGGAGGTCTTGTCACGTGTGCGACGAGCTCGTTTTGTGTCAGGAGGAGACGGTGGAGTGGGTGGAGTCCAATGATCAGGAAATTGTTCGTCATGATCTGCGAGAAGTTGTTTGCCAGGATCTTCAGGAAGTTGTTCATTAAGATCATCGGGGGGGCTCAGGGGAGGTGTTGGTGGTGAAATGGCCATGTCCTCTACGGTGAGAATGAGTGGAGCTTCCGGTGCAAAATCCGGACCCTCAGTGAACTTGCGGATGGTGGCGAAGCCTTGCTGGGCAATGCCGATGATGAGTTCAAAGTCTTCAAGCAGCTGGCGTGCTGTGTCAGGATCCATAATCGCAAAAGGTTTTTTGTCAAACAGCTGCGGTGTGAAAACAGGTCATGTGGGGATCTGCCGGTGGGCAAAGAGTGAAAAAGTGGGTGCAATCTCAAATCGTGGCAAAGGAAGGCCGGTGCGTTTTTTCTTCTTTCTGCAAGGTGAAACCGTGTTGGTGGTACAACTTCTTCAACAATGTGAGATCGTGATCTCGCTGAAACTCAGGAAAGGAAACCCGGCTGATCAGCGTACGTCTGGAGTAATATCCAGATTCCTTGTGCATCATTGGTGCGGCCGACTTGATGGAGAGCATGTTGTGCTTCTCATACGAGGGGATGAAGGAGATGGCGCCACACTCAAGGTCCAGTCGGCTTCTGTCTCCAAAATGATGTCTCCTCCGTAGAAGTGTTCGTCACACAAGATGTGGGCTGCCGGGGCCGAAAGCCATCTAGGAGTTGCGACCACGAGCCTGTTGTCCACATAGCGGAGCAGGAGGGCGTCCTCATAGGAGCGAGGGGTCCTGAAGTAGGATGGGTGTTGGCCCGAATTTGCTTGGCGACCGCAATTACCATCAGGCATAAAGCAGGAGATGCGGGGGATCCCATCGAAGCCCCGCGTGTTTGCCTGAAGGAACGGAAGCCGACAGAAAAGATCTGCATGTCAAGGGTAGCTTGGATGATTTCGGGGATGTCGTCAAGCCACAGAGTGCTGGCTTGTGTCGGCGACGGCGTCCGTTGTAGACGCGTGTGGTGGAAGAGGTGTCAAGTGTGTCCACAGTGAGGTGTGTGGTGGTAGAATGTGGTTGCCGCTGTCGGTACCAAGCCAAGAGTAGACGCCAGGCTGCTAAGAAGCGGTCTTTGTCAATGGAAGTGAAGAAACCGGAAAGGTCCTGGTTTCGACAGGCCAGAGGGGTGTGGCCGAGGTGGAGAAACTCATGCAAAGATCGCATGAGATCGAAGAGGTCGCCACCCGAAAATGCGTCTGGGCAGGCCGTGGCAACCATGCTGTGGAGCAGTTTGGCGAGAGCGTCAAGCATGGGTCGGAAGAAGGCGCCGACGAAGCTGATGATAGGTCGAGCAGCGGTCCAGTTCTTCTTCCTCTTGGGGAGGATGTAGGCAGTCGCTGGCCGTCCGAAGCCGGTCACGGCCCATGGATAGCGACCGCGGAATCTGCTGACGATGCTTTCTCGTTGCCGTTGATGGATCTCAATGGAGGGGACTCGCAAAGGAGCAAAGATGGCAGGATCCGTGAGTGTGGCGTCCAGCATCTTGCCGTGCACAGCGGCAATAGAGCATGAGTCGGGAGTCCGCATGATCTTCGCCATGGCGGACAAGGGGCTCCAGAGTTGTTAGAGCCTGTTGAACATGGGCATGTAGAGGAAGGTGGAGGTCGAAATGGAAATCGACAAGAGTGGAAAGGGTTGATGGATCGAGCGAGGGCAGGTTGTTGGTCCTGGCCCAGTGGTGAAACGCCTGAGTCAGACGATTCATCAAGACCCCGCGTGGAGGAAAGAAAGAATTTCGCATCGAACCAGAAAGCATGCTGACTATGTCGGGGTCGAACAGCTCATGAGTGTCAGAGCCAGAAAAAAGAAGGTGTCCCTCATGCTTCGGGAGGGATGGGTGTCGCTTGGCGAGGTCGGTACATGTGCAGGACAGCTCGCCGAGACTCCAGGTTTGAGCTGCCTGGAGGTGTGAGAACAAGGCACTGGATAGTTTCCGGCGTGCCTTGAAAACGACGCGTGGTTCCGCCACATGAAATGGTAGAGCACAGCGGGTGGTGGATCGGACAAACCCGCGGAGCTGGGTCAAAAGCAAAGTCCGAAAGGAGGAATGTGCGAAGAAAGGCGCAAGCATCGGTCTGGAGGGGCCGGGTAGAATTAGGCCCCGGAAGCGCAGGCCAGATCGAATGGCAGAGATGCATGCCTGGTAGTGTGGTTCAGGTAAGTGTGTAGCGATGCGATGAAGGATGTATAGGGCAGCGTGTGGGAAGTCTCTGCTCCGTATGTAACGGATGGCGTCGAATCGTCGTAGGGTGTTGCTGCCAAGATCGCCTAAAAGGCGCCAGTCTGCGGCGCTTTCGCCAAATGGTGGCACAGCCCATGCGCCGGGATTGAGAAAAATCCAAATGTCGTATGAAGCCCGTGCGTGGCCGAAAATGTCTCTCGATGAAGCCAAAATTGAGAGACGGTTGCAGTTCCTGAATGTAGAACTGCTCAGTAGCGAAGAGGTCTGTTGCTGGGACGGCAATGTGGATGGGCAATGAAGCGTAAAAGTGGAAAACATCGAAATGCGCCCACCATCGAACGGCCAGCTCGGCGTTGACCAAATGGTGTCGTTGAACCTGAAGTAGTTTGCGGAATCGGCTGTGATCCCGAGCCATGAGAGAGGTGCGAGTTGCACCGACATAGAAAAAGGTTTGCCATTTGGGATGGCTGGTGAATCTCAGATAAACCGCGGAAGGGACAAGCTGAGATGAGAAATCAGAAGCGGGGGAGTCCAGGCCGAGTCGGGCAAGCAGGGCTTTCAGTCGGCCAGAGCCACACGAGAGATGGCAAACGTCAAGTAGCTGAAGCTGTGCGAGTAGCCAGGAACAAAAATGACGACGTGCGGCGACGTCGTCGGTTGGGAAGAACCGGAGAGTGAAACGGAGGACAGTGAGAAATTGGCGGCAGTGGTGTTGCCAAAAATTGTGTTGCTTGGCTGTGCGTCGTTGTCGGTGTGCTGTTGAGAGTCACTGGTAGAAGCGGCTTGCCGCGGCCAGGATGCGGCCCAGGGCCGATGACCCTAGTTTGGATAAGGTTCGCACTGGTACGCCCCAGAGCACGGCGGCTCGTTCCAGTTGGGCTCTGGTGTCGGAGTCCAGTGTGGTCGCCCATTTGGCGCAGTCGTTGGAC